TAATAAATAAAAGTTTCTTGAACTTTTAATTAAAATTGTTAAGCTTGTTTTTCTGATTCTAATAATGATTAAATCATTAAAATTAGCCTAGTAGATCCCAAGATATTGGGAATCAAAGAGAGCAAAAAGTTCTATAAATTGCCAGTTACACAAAGTTCTATTGACAACAATACTTTGTGTAATTGGCAATTTGTAGATCTTTTTACTCTCTTCATTGATCCCCAATATCTTGGGATCTACTAGGCTGATTTTGATGATTTAATCATCATTAGAATTAGAAAAACAAGCTTTATAACTTTTATTAAAAGTCTAAAAAATCTTTACTTAATAAAAACTTCTTTAATTTTTAAAAAATATATTTTTTAAAATTTAATTAGCTAATTAAAAATAGAATATTTTAAATATATCATGGTGGAAATAGAATTATAGTATTGAATATATCTACTCATAAATATAATAAAAAAACAAAGTTAAATAAATTAGTATTAGAGCATTATTTTAAAAATAAAAATGTTATTATAAAAAGTTATAAGATATCATCATTAGAAGAATTTAATAATAAAAAATTTAAATATATAATGTAAGAATTTAAAATTTATTATTTTTTTTTATTTTTTTTGTTAAGACTGATGTTAATAGCAGCTAATGCCTTTATTTGTACCTTTAGTAAATATATTATATATTATTTATTCAAGATAAATTTACAACTAGTATACATATAACTTTTGCACTCCTATTTTCTGTGTCAGGTTCAATTAATATGTAGTATAACTATTCGAGTACTGAAATAAGCAGTCACATGCATGTAAAATAGATAATCAATAAACTATCTATGATCCACAAGAACTCTATTAATCAAATATGGCTTTTTAAGTCTAAATCACTTGTTATAAATGCAAAACATGTATGCATTTTATTTTACAATATAACTTCCTGCTATACTGAGGTACTAATTAATTTATAAAATAAAAGTTGTGAATAAGATTAAGGTATTATAAACAGAGTTAAATGGTAATTATATACTATTCATAAAATGTGAATTTTCATGTTCTTAACAAAATTTCTAAATTATTTAATCAATTTATATAACAATCTGAAGCCTTAGATTTGAATTCTGATCATATTACCAAAATTCTTGCCTGGTTAACATCTCCATCATAAAGATTCTGCGAAGATTCTTGGATAAATATCCAACTTAGAACTTCTAATGCAAAATAAGGCATAATTTCATGTAAATATTCATCTTATTATACTAGGAGGTTTCAAAGTTAAAATTTATAAATCTAATTTACATTAAAATTAATAAGGTATTTATTTTGAATAATGCATCAATCTGACCTTATTTTCAATCAGGCTTTGAACACACCAATTTGTATTATCTTTTTTTTTTGCAACTTATAAATTTTTATTAAATTGAACATATTTAATAGCTTTTCAGACCTACTGATTTTGAATTAAATTAGTAATGTATTTATTTTGAAATCAGTGATCTATAAATCCTATTTATTTTTATTTGTAAGCTTATTTATATAATAATACTGTAATAAATATATACTCAAGAGTTTTAAAAAAAGATTTAAATAATAGTACGAAGAATTTTTAAAAAAAATTTGAGTGATGATATATTGAAGAGTTTTTTTAAAAAAAAATTTTTTAAGTGACATATATTAAAGAGTTATTAAAAAAAAATTAAGTAACAATAATACAAAACATTTAAGCGATATTTATAATTCTTTATTATTAAGATAAGACATACATCATTAAAAAGCAAGCTTGCTTATTTTATCACCGAATAACACCTATTTTATTTTCAGATTTCGAAAATTTCAAAACAGAAATAGAACTTTCAAACTTCTACTTATTTTCAAAATAAGTTAACTCTGAAACCACCTACTGATTTTAAAAATTTTCTGATTTCATGAAATTGAATCTCCAAATACTCCCATTTCACTTTCCAATTTCAAAATTTTGAAGTACAAATACAATTTTTCAAATTTCTATTTTTTTTTAAATTTGAAACCCCTTTTGGTAATTATCAATTCATATAATTGATACATAAATATTTGTTTATAAAACAATATACAATATTGCCAGATTGCTGAAAATACATGTCAAATCTTTCTTAACATTAATTTCTCAAAAAAAATTCATTTAATTATAAGTTTATATTTATAAGACTTAAGTTAAAATTCTTTTATGATACTATCAATCACTTTATTTGTACTTGTTCATCCCTGAATAATTCTATTAATTAACTATTACAGTATTAATTCAAGACATTATTTGAAACATTTTCACTCAAATTATGTTTAATTTTATTTATTTTTTGCACTTTGTGCTTGGGAATTTCTTGAGAATCATTCTTTTTATTTGCACCAATTCTTCGATTAATATTTGCTTTTCTTTGTTTTACAGATTCAGGTTAAACTTGGATCATAGCTCCACTTTTAATACATGCTGAGGAATCTAGGTTACAATTATAAAGAAAATTGGTTACTCGTTCAATTGATTGTGATTTAGCAACTTTGTATCATTCATCAAACTTATTAAATGCCATTTGTAGTTGTAAGCCGCAGCTTTTATAATCATCCTCAATTTCTTTAAAAAATTATTAAAAGATGAATTATCAAAATCTTGATTCTCCAATTTGCTAAAATAGTTAATAATAATAATGTAAAGTTGTTAATATAAAATGTTATTTTCTATATATCAGCAATACAGTAAGTATACCAGATACCTATAAATATATTACAGTATAATCGTATATTAAATTTACAAAAGGATACAATAACATAGACTTAGATTATATACAAAAACAAACCTGAATTCAATATTTGCACCAACATTGTTTTCTTCTATTGTTACAGCATTTGAATCATTTGAATCACCAGTTTCATTGTTATTTATGATATCGTGTTGATCATTTGAAACAAATTTTGTGTGTAGTGATGTGTAAAAGGAATGATCTTTTACATTAAATCTTTAAAAAAAAAATTATATAATATTACATGCATATATATATAGATATATATTATTTCTATTATAATACTAACCACTTGCAATATATGAAAAAATCATTCGATTATTTGATGCTAATAAAGGTAAAAAATTGATCATTCTGATATAATATTTCATTGCTACAGCACCTTGATGTTTACATGATGCACCTGTCATCCCAATAAAACAATTACATTTTTTAATAACACTATTTACATTATAGATAAGTCCTGATTCTTTCATACTTGATACTAAATATTTGTTTGTATTTTCTATCTGACAAATTGAATCTTTATCAACAGTTTGCCAACTGAGACACAAGAATCTCTTAACAATTTCTATATGACCAGGATGCCAATATGTAAGTTCATATAAACAATAGTTGTAAAAACATTTCATATTTTTAGAAACAAAATAAAAAGCCTTAACTGCATTATACGCTTTGGTTCTTGCAAAAATTATATTTTTAAGCAAACCAAAGCTATGTTCAATGTAATTATTTGTATGATTACTATATAGTAATAAATTTAACTAGAAACAATGTACCCAATATTGTCAATAATTCCAAAGACACTCATAATATTTTGCAAATAACAGATATTGCTGATAATAATTATTCATTAATTTATGATAATAATATTTATATCAGTTTCTGTATGAGCATATAAAATTTTTTCATTTAATTTATTATAGTTATATGATGTTCTTTATTAATACTATGTTTTGAGTTGTAAAGCCAATGCCAAAGCACCTGCAATAGATGAAATATATATAAAAGTATATTAGATTAAGGCCAACAATGTGTTAATGCATTTTGCTTTACAGCTGAATCATCAGTTAAAAAATTTTGAGGTCAATGTCATATCCACGACCAAAAAAAGCATGTTCAGAGAGAATTAATTTTAAAAAATTAATTGCTCTTTCAATTGTCATTTCATGTTTATTGGATGTAACAAATAGTCCCAATGGCAGTGTATCTGTTATGCAGCTTGTATACAGAAGTGTTATTGATGTATTTAGAGATTCAAATAAAGAAGAGGCATCTACATAACAAATCTCTCTAGCTTCATTAATTCTTTCATGCACCCTACTTATTAATCTTGTGACAATATATAATATAAATGCTTTTCCCATTTGTGAGTCATATTCTTGAATAATCACTCATCTATAACCAGATGTATTATAATTTAAAACCTCCTCATTTAAACATTAAAACATCGATGCACCATTTTGTCTACCAAGCTCAAAATTACATTAATATTCAAAAAGACGAATAACATAGGTATAATTAGGGTTAACCGCACAGTCAGCAAGAGCTTCAACTAGATTTTCATTTAATAAAGCTGATTGATGTAACTCATCTTAACAAGTATACAAAGCAGAAGCAGGCGAATAACCATCGTAAAACATTTGAATAAATTTATTATATATTTTCTCATTAATGTGTCTAAAACCAAGTAACTCAGCAGAATTTACAATATGATTGTGTTTGAAGCAAACATTAACTTCTAAAGGATGACAAGTATTCAAATGCCAATGTTTTAATCGCATATGTAAGATTGCTTCACAACCTATGTTCCTATTACATGTTAATTCTGGATACATTTTTTTAGGATCATTTTGTTTTTTTCTAATAGCTTGACTATAAATACAATGCCTTGATTTACGAAAAATAACCTGTTTGCCTTTGACTCCATATCCCTTAGTTTGTGGCATTGTCATTCTTGAGTGTTCTTCAAAAGCAGCAAACCATACTTTTATGTCTTTCACAATTGAAACATTAATGAATATATCAACTTCAAATTGCTGTATTTCAAAACCCTCGTAGATATAATATAGTGGCAATTTTATAATATGTTGAATTATATAGCTATAAATTAAAGAAAAAACAGTCTGCAGAAAATTTGGTAATGAATTTCAAGAGAAATCTAAAAACATATATTTATATTATGACTGTTATTGCCGTATTATATTATAAAAAAACTTGTATTGCTGTTTAAAATTTAATTTATCTTACAGGAATTTTCATTATTCGTATGATTAACAAAATTCGCATCATCTTGGATTGCTTCGTAAGAATCAAAATTTATTTCAGTATAATCAATCTTTATAAATTATAAAAACAAAAAAAAAAGAACCAAGAATTACAATAATTAAAAAATAAAACTAGTAATAAGACAAAAGTATGTATAATTTTAACGTGTAATTTTAACACAATTTTAACTCACTTCAGCTTCTTCATCTACTTCCATACTATCATCCACTTCTGTACCTTCATCCACTTCCACACTTTCATCCATTCCAGTGTCTATATCCAACTCAACACTCTCATTAACAGCTAGAGTATTAGAAGCATTAATTTATACTATATTATTCATAAATGTATTGTCCATATAATTCAAGAACATATCACCTATATGATTTGTAGATGAATTCTTTATATGATTTGTGAATAAATTCTCTATATAATTTGCGAATGAATTTTCCATAGGGTATGTGAATGAATTTTCTATAGGCTATGTGAATGTATTTTCTATAGGATATGTGAATGCATTTTCTATAGGATATGTGAATGTATTTCCCATACAGTTTGTGAACATATTTCTTCTTACACAATTTGTCAACATATTCTTATCTGTATAGTCAGTGAATGTAAAGGTCATAATTTTGTAAATGCAAATATTGATTCTGCTATCTTAAAATAAATGAATTGTATATAAGTTACTATATTAAAATTTTTTGATTTACTAATTACATTACTTACGTAAAATTAGAATCCAACTAGTTATTATTTTTTTAATTTTTTTTTTTTTTTTTAATTTTAATTATTTTTTAATTGCCCAACCAGCCTAACATTTCCCAAATAGTTGTACTATTTCTATTATATTTCATGTTCTAAAGCACTCCATTTTGTATTTTTGAAATGTCAAAGATTTATTTTATGTATTTATCCACTATGCTTTACCTTCTTATTGCCAAACTTCTCCTTTACCACTAAACTTCCTACCCACGCACACAACAATATTTTTTAGTACTTGTTTTATTAAGGTAACAAAGCAAAGGTTCAAGTTGTAGAAATTGAATTTTATATTTATTTTTTTGTATATACAATTGCATTATTAATCTGTCAATTAGACTCTAAATTACTTATAGTCTGTCATTATCATTATTATGATTTGAAACATTTTGTTTGAAATATATATTATTATTTTATTTTTAGAAATACAATTAAATCACTGATCTGTCAATTAGATACAAATTACTTAGATTAGTCTGTCATGATTACATTACATATTAAAATATATGTATATTATGATTTGAATTAATTTCTCTTGCACAATCTATTCTAGTGCAATTATTTATACAATAATTAATTATTCTTTGTTTTGCATAATTATAAAGTTATACTATATTGAAATTCATAAAGTAATTATATAAGAATACGAGAATTATCTAGTATCATTTATTGAATGAATATTTTATATAATTTATAGGTAGTAATTATATAAATTGAAAAAATTATCAAAAAAAATACAGTATATTAGTATTTAAATATAGAAATAATAAAAATCAAAATTTTAAAAAATCAAATTTTTAAAAAATCAAAAGCTCTTACTTTGAAAACTAAAAGTTCCTTTATATACATTGTATAGTGGAAATGTTAACCAGACAAGAATTTTGCAGAATTCGAACCTAATGCTCCAGGTTGTTATATTAAATCAGTTAAATAATTTAGAAAATTTGTTTATATTAAAAGTGAACATAAAAATTCACATTTATAAAAAGAACATAATTACTATTTAGCTTTGCTTATAATATCTAAGATCTTATTCAAAACTTTTATTTATTAAGCTTTTAATGATATTATTTATAGGGATGTTATAATTAGTGTTAAATAGTGTTAAATGGTAAATAATAGTTAGTTATGCATGTACAGTACATATTGTACATATATTCATTTATACCATGTGTTTTGATAGTTTATTGATTATCTATTTTATATGCATATAACTGCTTATTTCAGTACTCGAATAGTTATACCACATAGTAATCGACATAACCTGGCACAAAAAATAGAAGTGCATAACTTTTAATTACCTATTTAAGTAGTCTGTTTAAGAGTTCTACACTAGATGCTATACCTATAATCTACTAGAAGACTGTCTAATTAAATACTCTGGTTTCTATACTGTACTTAAACAATTAACTACATCAGTTCCTATATATCTAAGTGCTATCTAACCTAACATTTTGTCTTCTTTCTGTACATTTGTCAAGTTGTTACTCAATTTCAAAGCATATTATCTAACTATAAGACTCTAAGAGCTTCTTTGTTAACTACTATTCACTCTATGAAATATTAACAAAACTTGCTCTTGTAGAGTTTACTCAGACCTTAGCATTTATTTTATAGCATATTTCTAATACTTTTAGCATATTTCTTTTGTTTTCCAACCTCCTAATTCAGATAGCCTAGTAAGATTATAACCAGTCTATTGGTATATCAGATCAGCCTAATATCTTTTTTCTTTGGTCTTTTCAGTTAGACTTTTAGTGACCTAGTTGGTAGTACTCTTATTTAAAGGTTTTTGCCCATTCAAGTACTCCACATTGGTATTTATTTTTTGGTCTAGCCTTTATAGTAGTACTGTCAAAAATTGTGTTACTTCTCTATTTAGATCTTTTCAAATGGACTTCTTGTTCTCTAATTTCTACAGATTTATACAGTCATAAGGACTTATTTTGGGTTTGCGCCACCTAATGCCAGTTTGCATTTCTTGATATAACCAGTTACACAGATGCCTCATGATCTGCCAGTTATGTTGGTGTGATTATAATTATAGATATCTTAATCTAATTATTAAAAACAGTTGTCATAATATAAATATTATATAGGTGATTATTTAAATTTTACTAAATATATAAGATTTATTGAAATGCATTTGGAAATAAACAAATAGTATATAATAAGATTATATGCTTTGGCCTTGTTTTATTATTGGTGCCCAAATTGTAATACAAAGTAAAATATGTATAACATAAAAAAATTATTATATAAAGCTCTAAGATACAGGCAAGTACCCTTTAGGCCATTTTACCAGATAGATTGGGTGAGTTAAAAACTAGATCACTAATAATGGGAGAGAACATTGTGATCTTATTATATATTATTCATTTATTTTCAAATATATTTCAATAAATCTTATATATTCAGTAAAATAAACTTCATAGTATATAATAAGATCATATGTTTCTTTAAAATAAATTCTAACTACAATCCTCTAGCTTAGTTCATGATTTTTTTGGTGATGTTATTTTGCTCCAACATTAACTTTATGCCATGTTGGTAGAATTCTTGGTATATATAAAGGTTGGACCAATTGCCTAGTGCCAGAATTGAGTTTAGATCCATGTCAGCATTTTGGGCTAATATAGCTAATAGAATACAAATGTCTTTAGCCTTCTCTTCTGGAGTTAATCTCCTAATAATATTCTTTAGCCAGTTTGTGATAGTATCAACTGCAGCCAGTTTGTAAGGACCAATGTTAGACAAAAATATGGCAGTTTTTGCTCTTTAGAATGTCAGAGTTCTTTCATTTATGCTAAGTAGAACTGTAGCTAGACATAAACCCACATTATTCTGATATTTACCAATAAATATTTTTTTAGTATGTTTTTTATTGATTCTATAATCTATGGCAATATTGGTCTCTTTTGGGTTTATACATTTAATAGTAATGCTGTTTGTGATGGGTTTGATAGTTGTTAAGTCTAAACAAGCAAGATTTGAAGAATAACAAGCTAACAAGAGAGCACATAGTAAGGCTGTTTTCTTTGCAAAGATATTAACTGTAAATAGTTATTATTACTTAGTACTACAATATAGTCTATAGAGGATGTAATATCATATATTTCATTCTCAGGTTCAGCAGATTAGTTTGTTCTGAATATTCCTAACATTAGATTGTCAATGTCTCTGTTCTGACCAATTGGCTAGTTATTGATATATTCATATATTTCACTTATAGCTAACTTATATCTAGTGATAGTATTGTATAACTTTCCTTCATTTGCTTTTGTTATAAAGATTTTAGAATATTATTTATAAGGTAATTAATAGATCTCTAGCATTCTTGATGCATCATGAAGTTCATGTATATATGTTAAATGATACATTATTGGTTGAGTTTGGAACAAGGTCTTTAGTACATAACATAATAGCTTGTTGAGAAATGCCTTTCTTCTAGAGGTGCTTTTGAAGATAAGCCATACACATATTTGCTAATTTGTTTTTAACTAAGGTATTGTACCTGATGTTGGTTCTGAAAATAAAAGGTTTTTTATTGGTAAGATTTGTAGCAAATCTATTTTCATGTCCATTAGAGATAGCAACTAGTTCACTGATGTTCATAAGGAAGTTATTAGACACATCATAGCTTGTTCCTTTTGAGCTTTGGCTAGAATTCTGGGTATCAATATTCATAAAGAATTCGTATAATTCATCATGTCTGATTATAGTTGTAAGAAGGCAGTTACTTCTGTTGCTATTGGGTCAAAGTGCTATGAATAGTACATTGGTAGCTGAGTATTAAGTCTGTTGGCAAACAAGTCTATATTGAATAGGTTCTACAAATTGTATATTTTGTTAAATATTTTGGAGTTCAACATTCAGTCGTTCTTGTTGAAATAAAGTCAAGATGCATAGTTTGCTATTATATTTTGTGTTCCCAGAACATGTTGGGCCCTTAGTTTGATCCTTTTTGTGAGACACCACTTCTATATTAATTCTGCTATCATACTAATTTCTGATGATACTACTCCATCCTGGTGGTTGAGATATGCTACATATGTTAGGTTGTTTATTATAATCAAACTGATTACTGTGTTAGGTCATTAAACATCATAAATGCAAACTAAATTGCTTTCATCTTTAATACATTGATGTGTAGTTTCTATTCTTCCCAGTTTCAAAGTCTGTTTAGCAATGTTTTCTTTCTTTAAATGCCCCAGCTATGTAGTGATATGTCTGTATGAATTATAACTAATGGTATTTTGAATATTATGAACTGTCTATTCTAATTTTCCAATTAGTCTACCCATCACTGTAACTGTTTCTTTGTTTTTACTGATAGTTCTAAGAAAGTATTTCAGTCTCTTGTCCTTATAGCTTTGTTCTTTAGTCTTAATAATTCTCAAGATTTTAGTCTTGCTGAATATTGTTAACATTAAGAGTTTTACACATTTTTGATCATAACTTTTGATGTACTAAACCAATTTGGATGAAACAATTATTATTGGATTCAACTCACTAAGATGATTCTAACAAGCACAAGATCATATAATTCTGATTACAGGATTACAAGATCGGGATGATTTAGATAAAAGTACTAATTCTAGTACATGTGGCTTGATTCTAATTGGCTCAAATTACTGTGCCAGAAATCTTACATTTCTTACAGACTTATAGATCTTACAGATCTTACAAATATTACAGATATTACATTTCTATTAGATCTATCATTTCTAACAGATCTATCATTTTTATTATATCTACTATATCTATTATATATATTATATTTATTATATCTATTAGTTTTTTTTTTTTAAATATTAATGGTAAGGCCATACCTTTATCTTTATTGAATATTCAATTGAGATTTTACATAAAGTACAAGTCTACTTTTAAAATATTATTCTTTAGATTGTAGGCCAACACAGTCAAATTTGTCTGCATTTTTGCATTTTTTTAGCTCTGATTTACTTTTTTAAATTCTTAAAATATATAAATAAAATTTGGTATAAATATATTTGAAAATAAGGATTACTTTTTTGCAAAATTTATTTTTAAATTATAAGAA